CCCTAACATGGGCAGGCACTGTGACACAGCCATTGTAGTATAAAGGACGTGTTGGTACAGCCTAAGAAAAACTTTAAGCTTAAAATTAGGGAGTATTGTGCAAAACAGTTGCATTCACCCCCTAGTCTCACCCCATCGGTGACCGTCACCTCTGCATGAATCTAAGAAATAAGGTGAAAGTCAGGGTGTCAATCCCACTCACTGTGAGGTGAGTGCTAAGCTAGTGAGTGACCGGAAGCAGCTGCTCAGCGAGACTTCACACCCTGGAGAGAACATATACCCACAGAACTAAAAATTTTACGTCTAAGTTATTTAATTCATTACATGTAGATTATTCCTTCGTGTTAACAGCCTCCCTAAAACTCAAGTTGTCCAAAACACGCTTTATATATGTTTCCCAATCACAGTGTGCTTATTCATTTTTGCATCAGCACGAGTTAGTGTCTAACATTCAGTGAACGGCTCTCAGGTATCAAGTAGGGAGGAATCCAAAGAAACGCAAGGCTTCACTGTTTCACTACTCCTCGTGACATTCATAATTACTTCTAGTATCACTCACAAATGAAAACACTTTTTATTCTGGGCAGTCATAATTAGATACTACCCATCAAAAAATAGAACGTTTATAGCTGAGGCATATGCAGCCTGAAGATGAAGTGATATATTAACTTCTTGATCAAATGTCAGAACTTACAGATGAATATGAAACAGACATCAATAATTACAGCTTGTACCGCAGATGTTGGTTTCTAAACCTTTCAGTTCAATGAACAATAACTGGACAGACACACCTTTCAGATATTAGAAGTGGGAAAAGATTACCTCATTCCATACCCATCACATAGCTGGCCCCCTGCAGCAATTCAGCAAGAGGCAGCCCATGGAGGAGATGTGGGCTGGGCCTTCTAGAATGACACCAGTAAGGACACAGGAGGAACCCCAGGCAGGAGCACCCAGGAGCCAAGGCTTCTCTTGGACACTACCCTCCGTTCCCATCTCAGTCCCTTTTATTCTGTGTTTCCTTAAGCAACCTGGTCTGGATATAAAAGGCATGAACCAAAATTCAATTTTTTTCTAAATTTCCTCCTACTTGGAAAATTCTTATGTTTTACTTGAATCTACAAAGGGAGTTACTAATATTAATAAAAAGATAATTATCCCTCAGCTAATTCTTGATTTTACAAGCATATCTAAAAACCCAGCGTATTACATGGCACTTAATAGTCCCACCAAAGGCCTGTAGTTGTGTTCCAGGGATCATGGTCACAAGAGCTAGCGTGGCACCACTGCCATATCTGAAGAAATTTTAGCAAAATGAACACATATCTCCAGAATACTCATAGGAGAGTAGGAGGAGATGCTGTTGAAGAAACCGCACGCTTCATTTTAACACGAGAGCACAACAGTTTGACTCCTTCCTAAGTTTCTTCATGGCATCTCGATCTTTTACGTGCTGCCATGTTCTCGACTCTCCCTTTCCCGGTATGGCTTCGTGCTGATTTACAGCTACAACACTGAATGTGTGCGCGCGCGTGTGTCGTGTGTCTTTTAAGGTGAGTAAAGCGGAGGGAGGATAAGATAATAAAAACTAAAGAATGCAGCTCTACTCATTTTAACAAAATCTACAGAGCACCCCAACCTCAAAAATGGAAAAATGGATCTCATTGTCTCAGTATGCTACTAAGGTCAAGAATAAATAAATTGATAAAAGAATCTTTTGATAGTTCAATGAAATTTACTCCATATAGATTCTACTTTCTAGCAGAAAGTCTCTCACTCATTTAAATCTGAAAACCTAGAAAGATGCTCTGATTATTTCATAATAAAAATTAATTCCTTGGAATGCATGCCCTGGGTTTATAACGACTTAGACTTTTCAAAGCATTTTCAGATCCATTACCATGTTAGAAAGCACTGATACCACAAACACCAATCTACATTTGGTCTTGGAAAAAGATTTTCGTGTACATGTTTTGTCCAAATATTACTATTTGTTTCATGAAAGTCAAGGCTAAGACTTTACTAGAGTGTAAATTTTAAGCCAATGAATAAACAGTTGGCTTCAAAAAACATTAAACTGACATGCAAAGCATTTGTTGCTCTGCCAGATTCTAAAAATAAAAGCGACTTCTGCCAACATGGAAGAACTTGAATATTTTGGTTGGTTCTGAATTTGACTACCAGGTTTCACTAAGTTAATTTTCCAAAATGGGGCCTGACGTTAATGTTATACTCTTGTTTCCTCACACATTACCTCTTAAACTACTCATAATTGGCATCTTAATTTAAATATTAACCTCATATATTTTTTATAGTTTAGCAGGACATACCTTTCTAAAAATGTGATATCTTTACCTGACAAATGAAAATTTGAACATTTGAAAATCAACCTTCATATTTTAAAAATTAAGTTCAAACTTGTCTTACCAAAGAATAAGCTAAGTTATTAAAATATTTAGATAACATTTTAGACAATAGATATCAGGGAAATCAGCACATTTTAAAGGTGAGGTTTTAAGCTGTTAGTCAAGTTCAGGTAACATTTTATTCCTGTCCTTGGCCTGCTCCTCCCTTAGCTGTCTCTCTAAAAAACAATAAGCACGTTTAAAATATGGAGTTTTGAGATTTATGATCAGTTGCAAAAACCTGCTTAACTACTGATTTGCAGTTTTGGCCAAGGTTTTTAAGTCTGTCATCAGAACTAATTACAGCAAACCTGAGATTATATATTCAAACTCTTCTTTTGGTGAAAGAATAGAATGTTCTGCTGAAAATCAGAAACACCCTGAGGGCTCCCAAAGAAGAATGCACTATCAACTTCAATTCTCAGAACCAGTGCTGCAAAGCTCAAAATTACTGTTCTTTAGTAAGGTGTTTTAGCCTGAAGTACTCAAACAGTAAACTGTAGTTACATTAATGCCATACCCATGGCCTGAAACATATTAATCTCAGTTAACAATACCTGACATTTACATTACTAATCTAATTCAGTCATTCTGGTGGTAGTAAATGTACATGTTAAAGCTTCGGGAACTGGAAGTTACTACTGATCCAAAAAGAATCTTTATTTCACTGTGACCAGACGGAGAGGACAAATGACTACACTTTGGGGGCAACCTGGGTTTTCTAAGAATAATGTCCCCATTTTAATGCTTTAATGAGTAAAATGTCTAATTCAAATTAAAACAGATTAAAAGTAAAGTGTTCCCAAATGACATGCCAGCAGGGTTAACCCAAGAAAACCAGTCCCTTCCTCTCCCTCAAACCCTCTTCCCCTCCCACCCCCTCCTCGGCTGCACTGTTTTAGAGCCTTTCAAAACCCAGGCCCCGAAGAGTGGGGCCTTAGGCGTCATGGCTCCTCTTATCAAATGAATCCCCTGCTCCCTGATTCCACCATAACGCCATCTACTCAGGGAAAAAGCTCCCATCCACGTGGGACCTCTGAGTGCGGGAAGTGGGCAACCTCTGGCCCCGGAGCAGGCCAAAGAAGAAGGGTCAGGGGAACTCTGGGTTCAGGGGCTCCCAAATCAGACCCTAAGGGAGGCCACTCCGGCAAGGCCTCAGCACAAGCAGAGTGGGGATGTGCCTGCAGGGGTCACTCACTACTCTAAGGAAGTGGATCCAGGGGGAAAGGGGGGCAGAGACTGCAGGGAGATGCCTGTGCTGGGGCCTATGCATGAGAATACTCATACTACCTGCCTGCTCAAAGCGAACATTTTTCATGCTTCAGACAAAACCACTGGATTGTGTGGCGGGTATTTCCCCCATGAAGGATTTTTTTAGAGGAAAATTTCCTATACTCTAAGTCTGTATTCACCTATAAGGAGTACGAAATAAGATGCTGTAGCTAAGCAGGGTATGATCATATCCACAGAACCCAACAGGGAATATTAAATCATAAAATGTTAGATTTTCCAATATTTAGTCTGACTATCTCTCCATTATGAATTCTATGAGAAGGTACACAATCTCTTGAAATCTTGCTTTCTCTATTATACTGGCTTTTGTCACCTAAGTGGAAGCAAGATACTATTTTTGTTCTCGTAAATAGCAATTAGTTGCTCACTTATTCCAGAACACAGAAAAAAAAAATATGCCACCACAAATAAGTAAAATTTGATTACTGTTTGTAAGCCTAAAAATAACAAAATCGGGCTTCCCTGGTGGCGCAGTGGTTGAGAGTCCGCCTGCCGATGCAGGGGACGCGGGCTCGTGCCCCGGTCCGGGAAGATCCCACATGCCGCGGAGCGGCTGGGCCCGTGAGCCATGGCCGCCGAGCCTGCGCATCCGGAGCCTGTGCTCCGCAACGGGAGAGGCCCCAGCAGTGAGAGGCCCGCGTACCGCAAAGAAAAATAAAATAAAATAAAATAAAAATAACAAAATAATACTACTACTAATATCATCATGACTCATTTTCTATGTTCCTGAATTTATATTATCAACCTAGAGAAAGTCTGTGTCGGACAGCAGACACCTCTGATGAAGGCTGAAGAAGGGAAGAGACTTGATGAAAGCCACAATAAGCAGTCCTTCACCTCCACTGGGCACCAAGAGGAGGTGCCAAAATACCTAGGCCTACCCCCAGATCACAACATCCAGCTGTGGTCTTGTCCATCAGCTTGTGACAATTCCTCAAAGCCCCTTCTAGTTCGGACTACGAAACACACTTTCAGTGAAAACCACTTCCCAGGGCACCAATCCCCGTTATCCTCATTCATTCACTCAGTCTCTCCAGGAGTGATGGGGAAGAGGAGAAAAAATAATCAAACCATGTTTGTTCTTAGAAGGTTCAGAGTTACACTGTCTTGAGTTATAACTGTCTAATACTATTATACCAATTTCTCTTCTAAGAACTATCTCATAATTTAAAGAACGACATGGCTGAGAGAGAGATTTAGGAAGACACTTCCAGGCACAGAACTTGAATTTAAATCATCCTCTAAATACTACATTCTGTCCTTTTTAAAAACTGTGATATTTAATCTGAAGGTACACAAAAATTAATCAATTGCTTTTATTATGTGACTGTGAAATATCAACTCTACTGTCTCCAATAAAGAACCAATAATTACTTTTATAACATTAAGATAAAGTCATTTGTGAAGACAGTATCTTTCTTGCGCTTATGACTAATCCATTATAAACAAATGCCAATCTTAAAAACACAGCTCCAGAATAAGTGCAGTTACACCGAGTACAGATAAGAAAGTACAAGGAGCTCATTGGCTATGCTACACCAAGTGGATGAAAAGTAAAATTGATTTTATACTGGAGGTCTATATAAATAAATAAATAAAATCCTATCTTTTTTTTTTCCTGTATGTATGCTTAGATTTCTTGTACAAATAACAGAATGCTCCATTTCATTCACTTCAGCAGGATGAGCTCTTTAGAAAAAGACTGAAAAAAGATTTGATAATCAACTTCCAAATTTTATGCTTATTTTTTTCTATTTCCATCAATTTCCCAACATAGTTAACATGAACAGGAAAATCTTTTCAGTAAATTAAGCAACTGAAGACTCAAGTGAAGTCCCAAAGGTCTTGAAGAACTCTGGCAAGTCACATATATCCCATGTTGCTTTTGGTTTCCCACCTCTTCTTTGCTTCAAACCTAAAATGAAGAATATGAAAATCCCAATTTATTTCTAAATACTTTCCTGAAGTAACATGTTTACTAAGCGCCAAAGTAAAATAAACTTTAAAAGTTTTCACATACTCCATCAATTACAAAACAAACATCGAACAGGAGGAAGAAATGCCTCCATATTTATAATCTGATAAACATTCAGCAAAGATACAAAGAATAAAATGAGTAACAATTACACACAAACTGGATTCACCAAATATATCACAGGATTTCTGTAATTCCTATGAATTTAGCAGAATTACTAATTTAAAAAATCTTGAACTCACCCCCAGGCAAGTTTCTTCTTTTTTCGAGCAACCTGTGAATTTTCAGCATCCTTTTTGGCTTTTACAAAGTTGTGGCAGGCAATCGCTTTGGCAATTTTTACACCAAGCTAAGAATCACACAGGAGGAAAAGTGAAAATAAATATTCTAGCTGATACAAGAATTACAGCGATACAAATACTCGAGAATTTGTGGGTATGAAACCCATGTCAGCGTTGCTTTAGACATGCTAAGAATAGAAATTCTTATGCTCGGCCCCCAAAACCACCGAATTACAACAAATGCAAAGATGTAGCTAGCCCCTATTCTCCTAACCTCCCACAGACCTTTATCCCAGCTGTACCAGCCTCCCAGTCTCCCAGATGGAACTCCTTCCCACACTAAGGCCCGTCGAGGGTCCACGAGGGCTGTGGATGAAGATCTTGAAGCGCTTTCAGCATTTCAGTAGGCCAGACAGGAATTTACCCCGATAAGGCTGCACAGGCTGACAGAGACATCCAGTTTCTTTGCTCTGGGCTAGAATTACAGAAACTCAGTATGGGTGTACCCGTTATCTCACGCTAATCAGAAGCTCAGATTGGCAGTCATAGATGTGATTAATAAAACACAGGAAAGCTAATTACTACTTCATAAACAGTTTGTGTGATGGGCAATAGCTTGTCACTCACTGATAGAAAAAGGAGTACAAGGGGTGCCAAGAGGCAAAGAGGCGGGGCACCAGGACCACAGTACCGAAGTGTTCCCTCTGCCAGTCCCCCGTGCGTGCATGCTCCCCCCTTACACCCATCTGCCCCAGTGCTCGAAGGTTGAAGCAGAACAAAGCCTCCTCTCAGCCCCACCCCCGGAAGTCGTCTCTAACTCAACCCAACAAAGTCTTTATTTCTTTATTTCTCTAGCCCTTCAGCTTCTGTGCCATAACCCATGGTACAGCTCTCTGACCACAGAGCTGTTCCTCGGCGAGCGTCTCCAGGACAGGCACGGTAATCCCCTAGTTTTGGTGGGCTTTGATTTTAAAAACGCCCAGCTATATGGATGGCTCAAAAGTATCTGTTAAGAGCCCAGGTTAAACAACAAAGCCTAAAAATCTCTTCCTGGTTATTTCTTTCCTTTTCTCTCTCTGTACACAGCCTACTGCATTTCAGTAGCCAGCAGACTTGTGGACAAGAGGCAAGGACCCAGAAGCTACTCTCAAGTCAAAGTATTACAGCCCAAGGTTTAGGGACCTACTGGCCAACAGTGAGGCAAGGCAGGCGGTCAGGGGCTCGTGTGTAAGGAGAGAAGCCGACTTAGGAAAGTGAGGTTTGACATGCCCGACACTCCTTTCAGCTCATCTTGGAGAACAGTTTCCTTTAGAATGAAACAAACAAGCAGTCATCAAGCACTGACCGGGGTTTATAAATGAGAACAAAAACAGATCTGATTTTTCAGTCTAGGAAAGAATACACATAAAGAAGGTAAGTAAATGGAAGCAATATGACAATCAAGCCGGCGTGCTGAGGTAGTCGACACCAAAAGGAAAGTCACTGAAGGAAGGAGGGTCGATTGTGGCTGTGAGCCCACCTGGGAAAGCAGACCAACTCGGAGCCTTCCTGACACTCAAGCCAACACTAGCAGCAGCATCTTTTTTCACAAGGACGACATTCATTCAACCAATATCACGAGGGCACAAATGCATTATTTTGCCAGGCACCGTTGCAGGCGCTGCAGATACAGCTGTTATAAAGAGGGCTTCGGGGGCAGGCGGGGGGGCGGGGGGGGTGGGCAGCTGGGGAGAAGGGGTTGCCAGTTACATCTGACTGCTTCAATCCCGGACCTGTTCTTTTGGCTCTCTTTTCATTTCCAGTTCTTTATTACAGAAAAATTCATATAAGTCAACTATAAAAAAGGTTAAGAATCAAAGGGCTGTAGCATCATCATCTAAGGGGAAAACGAAGCTCTGGAAGAAAGCTCTGGAATCACTTATCACGAAGATGGATTTCCTATCAACTGAAACACCATTCACTTGTCATAAATGTAAAAACATCAAGTTACTCCTGTCTGGTTAGGCTAGTCAAAACTGCAGTAACAAACAAACCCCCAAATCTCAGTGGCTGAGCTTTTATTTCGTGTTTCACTTAATGTCAGCTGTGGACTGGCAGGTCTCTCCATCTTGTGGTGCCAGCATCTCAGCACGTGGCTTTCAAGGCGCTGTGGCAGAGTTAGAGACGGCCAGAGGGTCTCACACTGGCTCTTTAATGCTTTAGTCCAGAAGCGACACACAGCGTTTCTGCTCAAAGCCGTCTGGTCAGAACTACTCACAATTCCACCTGGCTGCGAGGCGGCTGGCCACAGGGGTGCTGGGGGACATCAGGGGAACACTAAATGCACCTAAGGAACTGTCTACTGTCATAACATGCAGCTTGCCACCTGGGTTTAAGAGGTACGCTGGGTCTCTCCACATTCATGTGGGATATTTAGTCTCCTCTCTGGCCCCCACCTCCAAAAGATAAAACACAGAACTCAGTATTTGCCTATCTAATTATATTCCTATGTTTTAGATAGCATATGCAAATTTGAAATATGATATAGTTTTGCCAGGATCACTCCCTAACTAAAGTTCCACTCACCTAGTTTATCTTATATTTAAATTGAGCCTATACTTTTGAGCATGAAACAAAAATGACCTGAACTATATTTGCCATGTGCCATTGACCCCGTGACAAAATTATTTCCTAAAACTGTTGTAAATTAAGACGCAGCTTACAGTTTTAGCTTATTGAAATTTCCCAGTATGGATTTTCTGGTTTGGGGATAGACAAACCAAAGAGCATCTCAGTGTGTCTGGACACTGACCGTGGTCATGTGATTTAAATGGGGCCTCTTCAACATGGTCATATACTCTTATAATGTAAAAGATTTTAGTTTTCTAGCAACACGAAGGACAAACCCAGCACAATCAGCATCACAGTAAAGACTGAGAGCACATATGCCACAGAAGACATAGCATAAACTTGTTAAAAAGCATTCATTACAATGTAAGAAACATGTATTTACATGAGAGGGCTCCATCGCTTTGTAGACTAATTAAATATAGTAAATGATTAGGTACGTAGGCCATACGTTCAAGCAGGCCTGTTTGTAGGAAAGGTATATTTTCTAACTGTATTTTGCCTGGGGTTGGTTTCAATGAAATGTTCTTTAACTGATGAACATTAAACAAGCCTGGTCTAATGCATTTTACAGAAAGAATCTTTTAGCTTGTAATGATGATGAAAAGTCTTATCAATGTTGTGTCCTTCCCATGCTTAAAATGAATGTTTCACTTATTCCTGTGGAGAAAGTAAAAAGAATGGAAATATTTGGAAATATGAAAGGATCATGAGATCTTCTATAGAAGACACAGTTGAGAAGAAACATGTTTTCTCAGGCAAGATGACCAGCCCAAGTTCCAGAAGATAAAAGAATACCGTGCTATGTTTCCGTATTACAAACAAACAATATAGGCCCATAAGAATCCCCCTTCTGCTTCTCTAAAAAGAAAAATGCATCTTCGTGCCCAATGTAAACATCACAAAAGCTTGGTCAATGGTTTTTATATTAAAAAACTGTTTCAGGTCATCAGATAACTAGAGCAACACAATGTGGGAAGAAATTTTTTTAACCAAACAAAAATATATACACAATTTCTTGTATGTGTAGCCAAAGTATCAGCATTTTCCATATAGAACATCCAATATTTTGCTGCATTTTAATTAAGGTGTCTAAACATTATCACAAAGAACTGCAAATTGGTCAGAGCAAACGGTAAGGAAAATTAAGCTCTAAAGGCTTTTTATCACCATATTTCAGGAACCAAGGGTGTAAAATGTTCTAATTTGGGATATATTAAAAGCCATAAAAGGTCTTTCAAAAAGATTAATGGTACTTTGCTTGGATTTAAGATAAGGGCTTTAGCTGGTTGGAAAAGCAGGGCCCTGGCTGGACCCTTGAGGCATTCATCTTTACAGCCACTTGGAAGATTTGTAAAAGCGTCTGCATAACCTCAAGCAAATGCACCCGGCGACATTTTTTTAATTCCTTTCAATTTTACAGGTTTAGCATGCGTAAATCATATTGGGTTGTAAAATAGATATAATGGCACATCTTGTAACACAGTAGAGATTTTTAAAAGACAAACTCGCAAAATAAAGTTCATTTTTCTCACTAAACCTTGCCCTACTGAAGTTTGCCGGTAATCATTTGAAGCATCTGATTCAAACAGCTTAATCTAGCATCACTGTAAACTTCTTATCCATTTCATAAAATACTTTACTCATCTTTGAATTACTAGCTTGTAACAGATTTATGAAGTTTTCCTCCCTTCTGAACACTTTCAAGGCACTTATTTAAAAATACCAATTATCATACTTTAACTTTTGATGGAATAATAGGTCTCTATGAAAAAATATTTATGCCATTCTCTTTTGTTCTTTAATTAAATGAAAACAGATGTTTTCTGAAGTAAAGCGGAACCATTACTGGAGCACTTAAAGTGTTAAGGTCTTTAATTTCTATATCAGTTTGGTCGACAATTCATGATTGTCTTTACTCGAGCTCAACATTAATGTCAAGCAAGTTACCTAGGAGACGAAAGAGATCAAAGAGACAAAAACCCCTCCAATGTCTGATTAATCAAGCCTGCAAACAGCTTATTTCTTTTCGCCTGCATGCAAGTATGAAAATGAGATTCTGGGAGCCGAACATTGTGCAGATTTGTTCATTCTTATCAGAACAAAGCCAGCGGCAGCTTATTTCATGGATCATTGGCACTGTCATCAGTGCTACACAGAACGGGTGACAGCTCCTCATTTTGAGGCTTGAACAAAATTAGCAAAAAGTCGGCACAAATTAGCCTCTCATCTTTTTGGTAATATGACATTATTCATTTACTTTTTATCCAATTTTTAATTTTTTCCTTGTCAGCTATCCCTTTCTAGTGTCTCCTGCATGGCATCACAAAATGCCTTCTTAGAAACAAGCAGAGAAATAGCCAAAGTTGAAATAACATGCAAAGTTCAAAAAGCAAAGAAGAAAAAGCACTTCCAAGGACTGATGATGCTTTATTTTTTTTTTTTTAGTAACTTTCAAAACTTTGCAAAAATATTAACAGCTCAGAACACCATGCAGTTAAGGAGTTTTATGAAATCGCTAGTATATTTCAATAAAGAAGATGATGTGGCTAATGTATTTCACTCAAACCACAATTTCACATGGCAGGTGCTATAGTAGATTCAGGATGTCTCCACTCGGATTGGTACCTTTCTCTCCACGGTCATACCTGAGATGCCAAAGCTCTGAGGACAGCAAATAAGCTCTGCCATATCCAGGCATTTAAACACTGACTGTAAATCAAGTCTTTTTCTCTCTGTTAGAGGAAACAGCCCAATTTCACTGTCATCTTAAAATGTGCACACACAGGTTTGCATGTTTGTGTACTACTTACATCTATGTTGTGTACACAACTGTACAAACACCTATTATTTATTTTTATACCTACAACTTCATTATCAGTTAAATCCAAATGGCTTTTATTTCAAAGCATAACCCAACAAACCCTGTTTTTAAAATACATTATAAGATATATTTGTATAGACATATTACATATGTGTGTGTGTGTATGTGATTCACCTTGCAATTTATAAAAAAATTTTGTATTTGGTCCATGAGGTATGAGAAGATAGACTTTGATTCATATCCTCAACTCTGGTTTCATAGCGGAATAGTTTATGTAACACCTGGTTTAATGATGACTGTTAAGGCTTCAAATTATATGTAGATTACAGTATTCCAAAGCAGGGAGAAAAGATGTTATACTGTTGAAATCACTCCCGGATAGAGACCTTTATATTCAAGCAACTTATTCCATTCATAAGGGAAAAAAGCATTAAAAAATTAACCATAAGCTGTTAGATGCTTTACACAGTCCCCATCAGAAAGACAGTTTTTTTAAAGAACTGTAGTACTGTTTTCAGCAATTTCTTTATCTCTGTTCTTCTAAGTAAGAAAGCTTATTAACAAGCTTTGAACTTAAAATCACATTTACAATAATGTGCCATCAACAGTTTTATAAGCTAATTAGAAAAAGATTAATTAATGACTGGCTGCTAATAAAATGGCAATCATGAAGAAAGAAACCATGGGTGCTAAGCTTCAACTACCACCAATTAAGAGCTAATTACAAACAAATTATATATGTGTTTTGCTGTGGGCTTTAATTTACTAAAATGGTTTTAATTAAAAGAGAAAACATGCTGATTAATTGAACTGCAGAAAAAAATCTACAGTATAAACTGTGCTTTGTCTGTCTCTTTAATTAGACTTGTAACATCTGAATTTTTTTTTTAAGGTTTGTTAAAAGCACAGATAAACATAATTAAAAGAGAGTATAAGGAACACCATTCTAGGTGATCACCCAATCATACCCCAGGGGTTAAAAGAAAATGTCCTCAGTGCAATGAGATCTAAAAAGCACACCTAGAAGCCTGAGAGGAAAACCCATCCCTCGGTACCATTTTTATTTTTCTCTTGAAGTCGGAGCATTTCTAAAATGCTCCGACTTCAAGGATGTACACCATTTTTTATAGGAAAGAACGTATCTTTAGGTTCCACGTAAAGGAATTCAACTAGGCCTTCCCTCACCTGGATAGGCATAGCTGATTTTCCATACGATGTGCTAATTGTTCATCTATATGAAATAACTGAGTTA